GATTAAATTGTAACTACGTAATAATCTAGCCTACACATACTTTTCAAATATGGCTAATATAACTAATACAACTTGAACTATTTTATATTACCCAATATCTAACAGTATCTGCTAGTTAAAATAGTTTCCACCCCGAAACAGTATGCATTATATTCGTAATTTTAAAATTTAAATTATTGGATGTATTCGAGTTCGATTCAAAGAAAGACATGTTGGAGTCGTGGAAAGAGTTGAATTGGTAGGAAGATATCTTGCTTTTATGCATTGATGCATTGCATTTGGCTGTGCTTAAACATACTTCAATCCATTGAAGTAATTTATCGAGAAATTTTGTTGCAAGCAAACCATTCTACAGAAAATCACTATGAATTAAATTTTGCCTCAGTAGCTCCTAATTAGTGAACGCCAAAAACACAGTTAACCGTAGCACTCATGCAGAGCAAGGGCAATCCAATAGCCATATATATTGACATAATGAAAGAATAAACAATACAAAAATAACTTTTTTGGTTGTTGGGTACATGATTTTTCCACCCCAAATTTTTATTTCTGTTATTGTGACATATGCGAAGCAACAAACCTTAGGGATATTGAATTGGAGACAGTGCAAAAAATTTGTTTAAGTACAACCTAATAATTTTACACATAGATGCTGCTGATAGAAAATGAAGGATAAATAATAGTGTGCTTCTGAAAGAAACAAGGCAGAAAAGTTATGTGATTGAGTTTCTTTATATACAAGTTTGAGAGTTTTTCTATTAAAAACTATTCTTTATTTTTAATAAAGAAATTTTTAAAGGCATTTCTAATTCGTATTTAAACAGATTTTTAGTGAGATAAGAGTCGTAAGTAAGATGCAATATTAGCCATCTATACAAGCTATATTGGTTCCATATTTCTTCTCTAATTTTTTACTCTAAATTTTCATAAGTGCAATTTAACAATAGTGCAATACATTCACAATTTCTGATTATGAACATTAAAAAGTGTATATTGCTATTTTCTCCGACTGATATACTTGAAATATGATTTGGTCATACATAATAAATAAAGCAACAATGCAACATAGAAGAATATGATGCACCAGGCTACGGTTAATATTAAACTACAAATTCTACAATAAATATTCAAGAAGTATACTTCCATATTGCATCGCAATGTTATTTGATGAAAATGCAGTATAACCTAATCCACTGACGATTACTTTCATCATACAGACGCAACCTATGTTTGTGCTTGTCAATATCTACTTATAATGGTTCAAGAGCAATCACTACACTACTCTAACTCTTCAGGTAGATCTATAATAAGCCACTCACTCGTGTGCATCTGTATGTATATTTTCAAACTTTCTCAACATTTAATAGACCAATAAGAATATTTTGGAGCAAGAAAAATTGTCAGAAATACTCTCTAATAAACTCTTTTGAGCACACATCTCTTAATATATTGTTAAATTTGATTGAAAATCACTAAATTTTATCAATTATATATACATCTTATTTAATGAATCTTTATCTTGATTTTGTAATTTTCAATAAATTTTTAAAATAGAATGTGTTAAATAGTGTGTTATTAGCAACTTTTTAAAGAGAAATTTATTAGAAAAAACAATAATAACAATATCCTAATAGTTAAAGGGTGTGTTTAAAAATCAATTCAAATTAACTAAATATGAATTCATTCTTAAAGTTCCTTCTATGTTTGTACATCAAAATTCACAATTCAAAATTCTCCATTCAATGTGTTCTAGTTTCAAAACACAATAAAGGCAAGATATACTTTAATCTGGCATTCTAAAATGACAAGTCAAGGATATATATAGACAAACCAACATAAGAGGATCAATGTTGTGCTTTTAAGAGTAGAAATGCCATGCTTACATGTGACAATGAATACTCTTGAATGGTTGAGAATAATTACTTTGCAACTTATCAGAAGGTTACCAACAATATTTTTTGTTAGTTATATGAGGTGCTCTATGGATTATTATTACGAGCATATGGAAGAGCTTCTCTCAATTAGATCTCAAACGGTACCAATGGTTGTATTTAGGTCTCTACAACCGCATCAAGATTGCAATGTCAATTATATGTATCAGCCACATTTATTGTTATAATAAGGTTTTCAAGGTACACTAAGCGCAATACCGCATGAATCAACTAGTATATTAATTGTTAGTTTAATTAGTGTCTTGAAATTAATATACAACTGGATTAAATATTTAAAAATAAAACTTTTCTTCCTATATTGTTATTCAACCAGAATTGTCTGTGAATAAAAATAAGGTTTTTATGGTAACCATAGGCACAAAAGCTTTCGAATGAATGACAATATATAATTGATTTTTTTACAAAGTCAATTTATTCTAACAAATTCTAACTTTTTTTTTCTTATTTTTTATAAATATTTTAAAATATTTTTTATTTAAATTTTATTTTTTGAAAAACAAATTTGATTTTTGTTAAAAATTGATTTAATTTTATAAAATATTTTAACTTTTTAAAAAAATGATTTTTTATACAAAATTTGTTAAATATTGAATTGGTTAATGATAATTTGTTGTTGTTATTATTATCATATGTATTTTAATCACTATATCACTACTGAAAAGATACTTTGAAAATAAAATATTAAATTGTATTTTTTTGTTTCATTTAAAAATTAAAAATCCCTCAATAAGAAAATATACACAGCCTAATTTAAGTTTTATTCAAAGTTAAGTTTAATTCTTCGGATAAATAAAAGCATGCTCAACTACAAGCCTTCTTCGTATAGCCCAATTAATTACAAATGGATCCATTTGAAAAACAAAAGCCCATTAAAGAAAGTTACTTTTTGTCATCATTTCTAAGGCCCATTAATAATGCTAGTCTGTTAGCTATTGTCTGATTCTAATTTCTAGGCTATTCGCTGTGAGAATTTTTTAGCGTATTTTCGTGATTAATCGATCCTTATATTTTTAATTTTAAGAACTTTTATTTCACAAGAAGGTTTGTAGATATTTTTTTTAATTTTTATTTATCATAATTATTATGTAATATTTTAGTATGTATAATGTCTAGACATTTTAATTATATATAATATAATTAAAATTTATAATAAATTATATATAAAATATTATATTTAAATATAAATTTAAAGTAAGTATATATAAATATTTTTAAATGTATAAA